ATTTAACAGGAAGCCAATTTAGTGATCAAAGGTTCTGCAGGGTTCTAGAAGGTTGGAGGAGAGCAAAAATAAAGTTAGAATTAAACTTCCATCTTCCATTGATTCCACCAAGCTTTATTTTTTTGATTATGAATTATTTTAGCGTTAAGGTTGGTTGAACAAAATTTAAATAACTGTTCTCAGTTCTTATGGTCTCACTAAAGGGTTATAAAGAAATGAGTGTCATACAGTATTCTCATGTTCAATGTTTAATACCTTTTGAACTTTGGGGAATGATGCAGCTGCTGTGGCACAGATCCATTAGGCTTTAGTCATTTGGTAGATATTAGCTTTTGTTAGATTTTCCTATTAATATGCATATATACAATAAGTAATCTAATATATAGATTATATATATGTACTCAAATTGAAATCTTTTTCACTATAGAAGTATATATTAGAAAGTTCAACTCTGATATCCTTGCTTTGGGTGATTATTAGATCTCCAGTTTCTATTGTGTGTCTGGACATTGAAGCCAGATCTTCATCTAATCAGTGTCTTTCTAACAGGTTAGTGTAAATGCGTTGTTTTAGTTTTGGTTTTAAAAGAAGATTACAGTAACTTCCCCTGCAGCTGGAGCCAGATGTGTTCAGTTCCTTTAAAATAGAACAGAGACTGAGAGCGAAACCTTAGAAACGTTCTGGATCATAGAGTTTTGGTGCACATTTGCTCTAACATTATAGCATTTGAAATGTCAGCTAATCATTCACTCCTCTGGTAACAAGCTCAAATTCACCAAGGGTGTAAAAACGTAATTTAATATCATGGTGTGAAATTTAAACTTGGTCTTAATCAGTATTTAAAGAGAAGAAAACACATTTGTGTCACAAAACAAACTAGGCTAAAGTAACTTAAAATTGAACACTTAATTTCACATTTGTCATTTAACATCTTGATTCCAGGATATTTTTTTTTATTTTTTGGAGAAACCAATATTTCTCTATTTCACTTGGAAATCCTAAAGAAAACTGTCCAGGCATCAGTTGGTCATGTTGGTCACCAACGGGCTCAGAAAAGCAAAACATCTGCTGGAGTGGGGAGGGCCAGGTAGCTCTGGCATTGAGAGTTTATTCATGATCAAAAACTCTCCAAACTCAATGAGAGCATAAACAGGTGTTATTCATTTAATAAGAAGAAATCACTTTAATAAAGGGCTTGTTTGCTGTAGATAGCCATCTCACTTGATAAATTAGATCCTTATTTAAAATGAAACATTTTCAATTCAATCCCGTTTATTTCTATAGCGGCAATTCACAACACATGTCATCCCAATTCACTTTCCAGTTCACCAGATCATCCAGTCACATTGATTCAAAGTTTTCTATCTAAGGAAAACCAGTTGATTGCATCGACTTATTGACTCTTCAGCAATCCCTCACACTAAGCATGCTTGTAGCGACAGTGGAGAGGAAAAACTCCCTTTGAACAGGAAGAAACCTCCAGCAGAACCAGGCTCAGTGTGAGCGGCCATCTGCTGAGGCCCACTGGGGTTCAAGGAGACAGAAGCAGACATAGAAAAAGAAGCAGAGATACAAAAGGCAACTGTCAACCAGCTCCACAGGCGGCCCCGTCCAGGAAACACACAGCCAGGCAGACGAGCTCTTAGCCAGCTCCCATGTCAGAGGATGAAGAGAGCACATCCAGTTAGTCACAGTCAGAGAAACAGGACTACACTGAAAAACAGGCCAAGCTTCAACATCTATAAACAAAGGTGTTGATGGCAGCAGCACAGCTGATATTTCTCTCCAGGATGGAGTCACAGCCAAACAGGAACAGACCAGATGAAGCTACTATGAGAAAAAGCAGAGAGAGCAGAACGTTAGAGATTGAACTAACAGATCCTGCAGAGTGGGAGAATAGAGATAGAATGAAGCAGAATGATGAAAAAGGGGTCCCTATGTCCTCCAGCAGTCTAAGCCTATAGCAGCATTCCTCTCGCTCTTTTCTTTTTCTTCTGTTCAGTAGTTTTTCATTCTACCAGGATTAGTGTCACCATGGCAGGAGGCAATACTGTTTGCTAGCCTGGACTTTAACCCAACATCTGGACCATAGAGTCCTACAAAGTGACTTTAAACAACATTTGTACACTGACCTCTTCAGTTACTGCTGCAGGATATGTAGCTTATTACAATAACTTCACTTTAACAATCCCGGAGCAAGTTTTTAAAATTTAATTTATTTTT